AGAGCTATTTTGCAATGTTAAATGTGATCAAAATTTGACTGAAATTCAGTACGTAACCATGTCTGAAACTCCTTTATGTTATTACTGTAATAACCGACATCAACTTGTGATTTTTTTAAAATATTGTACAAGCAGTCGGTTGTTTCAAACCCGGTGGAAAATTGAAAGAAAAAAATTTAAATTAAATGAACGCAATGTATTTTCAAAATTCTCGGCGGCCAAGCCAAGATCGTATCGTCGTACCAGTTCTGCGGATTGTCGCACATATCCGAAAACAAATCAATCATATTTTTTTTCGAATAGATACTGTATTCACAATTCGTGACGTATACATACTTCCAACGAGTTGCGGGGGTATTAGGCAAGTTTTTGCTGCAATGTGCATCATAAAAAAACGACCGTTTTGTGCTATTATTAAAAAAATTAAATAAAGCCTGAAGGGATGAGAAAAGTGCTGACTTCCCCAATCCTGTTACAGGATTTAAATAAAACTAATGCCAAAATGTGTACATTACACCACCTCTGGGTGACAGGCGTGAGTGTTTAGGTATGTATACCTAACGTGACCATTTATTTTTTGACTCAAAACGGGACATTGGTTTATTGAGGTCAATTAACAGATAGTCAATAAAAAAACACTTTTTAAAGTTATTTATTCAGAAAAATTCAGTTAGCTTAAAATTACACAAATATATATATATATATATATATATATATATATATATATATATATATATATACTTTTTTGTACACCACAATACAGAAACATCAAGTTCAGTTAAAACTAAATTAACAAATAAACAAATAAAGGAACAAATTTGCTTTAATATAGCTGGTGGTGATATTAAGTAAGAATGAAACTCTTGGCATATTTTTTTATATTCAACTAAATTATCAATATCGCCCATTTTTTTTGGTAAGAAAGAAATGCCACCGTTCCAGATATTCATGGCTTGTTTCATAAAATTTTGTAGCCGCCCTTTTCACCAATTTTTCATCTATGTCAGTAGCATTATCTTTCGATTTCACTTTTAATTGACGGACCGTAAATGGAAGAAACTGATTGGTCTGTTTCTGAGTCAAAGTGTCTTTTAGTTGATTGATTTATTTTGCAGCTTCAATAGCCGATACAGTCTGAACTTCAAGTTTCAATACAGCTTGATGAAAACTTGCTGACTGAGCGTGTAAAAAATAAAACCATATTTCGGATGTGGGATCTTCAAAAAAGTTTTTTAGTAACAACATCACAAATTTTCGCGCGGTTTCAGAAAACGAGACAATTTTGCGTCCCAGAGTTCATTTCGGGGACACCAGGACTCGTAACTATAAAAAGGGACAGTCCCGTTCAAAACGGGACGTCTGGTCATGTTATGTATACCTAATACCAATTACGGAAATGTTTATTTATTTTATAAAGCACTCGAATTATCGTAATTAAAATGTAAGATAATGTGCAGAAAGACTAATTTTTCTTCAATTTCGGGTAGTAGTTTACTCCATTTATTCTCTTAGATAATTCCAGCTTCAGAGAATAGACTGAAGAATAAACACTATTATTTCCTTCCCGGTCGAATAATTTTGCCTAATATTCGGCTATTCGCCCCGGAAGTCCGCAGAATATTCGGTATTTCGATGTGACCGAATTTAAGATTCGTTGCAAGTCTAATTTATACTATTTCAATATATCATTGGTTCAGTCGTTGATTGTAAATAATGAGTTAGTGAATAAGTGATGAAAAACATGGAATACAAAAACCTATGTAGCTCAATTAACCTTGAAATAAAATCAATTTAAAGTTAGAAGTTTTTTTTTACCCCGCGATCTCAATACAGTCACAGAATAAAAATAATAGTACAGTCATTGATATATTAAAAGGTAATATGTCAATGAGTACAGTGCGAGAATTATCAAAAGTACCTCGCGTTGAACAGAACAGTCAGCTGCCGCTGCCGCGTAAGGTCTACACGTCATCCGGTGACGCCATATCGTACGATGTTTGTAATCGTCATAATTACTCGCGCAATCGGCGTAGATATGTACCTACAAAATAAAACAATAATATTTTGTTTGGAATAAACCCATATCTTCGCACTTATTATTTCAATGTCTATAGTCTATACTTATCAATCATTATGTTGGAGTAGTAGTCATTATCTTGAAGCGCTTACGCTACTCACGTTTACTATATTTATCGCAAATTACGAGAATACCGATATAGTAAATAATTTTAATGATTCACTAAAATAACGCGACATCGTAGAAGAAACCGACCATGTGATCATAGAGTTGCCAACCGTCATATTTTCCCAAGACAATTCCGGCTTTTTGGAGTGTCCTGATATATTCTTCTTTTAACTATTTCACTGCCCCGTCAGTACAGATACCTTATGTCAGGATTTGTCCCAATATGTTAGGACTTTGTTGAGCTCTTAAAATCTGGATTGCGGTTAGATTTTGGGAATGTTAAACTTTTCCGATTTTTCAATAATGAGTTAATCGCGAAAGTGCACAAAACCTATAATTTATATTTTTTTCACGCTTGTTATTTATGTTTGCTACAAAATGTCAGGACTTTTCTATGGAAATTAGATTATTTGCCAGGACTTTTTAATTTTCCATTTGGTAAACCTACCCGTAAGTCATACAATAATATGAACATTTACGTACGTAGGTACTATTGTTTCGTTCCCGGAGGGAGAAGTTGTTAAATAATTGAGAAATGTTACAAAATAATAAACAAAGCATAATTATTTCTACCCCATTGCGTGGAAGTCGTATGAGGCGACAGAGGCAAGCAGGAGATGGGCAGCAGCATCTTTCTGATTACAACTCAAAATAATAATAAAAATCTTGCGGTTGTCATGGTACCTAAAATCCCCCAAATGAGGCAGCGTTTGGGGTAGGCCTTTGCTCAGCACTGGACTTTTACTTTTAGATTTAGATTAGGCTGTAATAGTGACAATATCTTTAATAAACAAAACGGTATATAAATTAAATAACTACGTTTGCCAAATTAATATTTTTTGTACTATACTTACTAACTATAACGCTTAAACTTAACAAACAATATATAATAAAATCGTTTTATTGCGTCCTGTTTTGAAACCGAAATGTCCTGGAATTTCTACCTTTAAATTCTGGACATAGACACATATTTATAACATGTCGGACAATAACTACCGACTTAATATATTACATATTACATCATAAGTTCATAAGTCATAACATTTTATTGCACTTATCGCTATGCTTTAGACGTTCAGTAGACGGTATTTATAAATATTAATTTATTACCCTATACCTAGGTACCTAATATTCTGCAACTATGTAAATAAATAACAAATATTTGCGTCTATTTTCTAAATATAAACCGATTTATATTACTGATATTACAGTCCACATAGTACTTTTTACTATTGCGATTTACAGCGGCTGCGTCTTCGAATCTCGCGCGGAATAAATATTTTTGTATGGCTTTCAAGTAATTGTGGTTTGTCCTTGTGAAATTTATGTTTGTAAACTGCTCCCACGACACAGGAGAAAATCCTAGTGTGGATTTTGGATTTTGACGATTATAAAAATAAAAAAAATTTTGATTTAGCAGTCTCAGTCTGATTAAATAGTCAACTGCCTTATCAATTAAAATTTTGCTTACCTTCCTAATATCTACCTTAATAGTAGGTACTCTAAAATACGTGGAATTACAAAAAATAATTATAACCACGTTGCTCCTAACCAATAAGGTGTATTTTAGTATGTAAGGTGACGTGACGTCACATCACGCCACCTTTCGTTAGTCAATAGGCGCGCGATCCGGCTCGCCGCTCTCAACATGGAGTAGGCGTGACCTCGCTTTGCTAACCTTATAAACTATCACGAATCAAAATGAATATATGTTACACTTTGATTCGTATCGACGATTAATTATTGATGAATGTTTTTATCTCACATGTTTTACTCATGTAAAATCGTTAATTTCTATTTTACATTATAATTTTACAAATAATATTACACATTAAAGACATTATAATATTATTATCATTATCCTTTTAGGCTTCTTTGAAAGCAATGGTTTAAAATATTCCATGTGAATACTCTGATAAATATGATTGAATGTTGCTTGCGTACGTATAATATGTAATTTCGTTGTAAATCGTGAAGTCCGTGCCGGATCGCGCACGGTTAAATTGACAGACAGAGCAGGGAAGGTTCGAGTTGGAGAGATGGGGACAGTCACGTCATTGACTCATTGCCTCATTCGCGAATAGTGCACGGTGTTGACTGTGAGCTACGTTTTACTGATTCTGTCTGACATTTAGTTTCGTTTCGTGCCCAAGTACTAACGTATAGTAATCACGTATATTTACAATAAAGTGATCGACCATTCACGCTTCCTATTTATTTGTAAATAAATATTATTCAAGTTCAAGGACACATTATAAAAATTATTTTATAATAAAATCTACAGATGCAATAAAACCAGATGTGGAGGTGCATAAACCGAGTAATGGTTCAAATGAACCTGTTGTAATTCAGAAAAAACCTGTAAGCAGTGAGTATTCGTTAACCTTATCCATTTATTTTGTTATTACCCGTTTCCCATCCCAATTAATAATATTTTCGATTCCGTTCAATGTTGCGGTGATCATAATATTTTTTATTTTATTTTGACACTTGTAAACTGAACTGTTCATAATAAAAACAAGTTATAAGAATTTCACTACAACTTTGAACTAATTTGGCTTTACTAAATAGATCGATAGGTACATTTTTCTGTTTATGATACCCCTCGTCTACTTGCTTTATAATTTGGTGATTGGTAATAAATAACATCTCTTGATATACACTAACATCATGGTTCAGTGAATGTGCATCCAATATCTGTGTGTCTTCAACTTGGGAATCATTGATTGATTTGCAGGGCATGCCAAGTTTCTACTTTACAATCTGATGATTTACGCTCTTGAAACGGGATTATTATTAAACACCTTCAACACATATGGTAAATTTAAAAAGAGAAGGGTTAGGCCTTCTCTTGAAGTTGGGACGTGCTGTTGGAGAAATAATAGAAACAACGGAAGACCCGGAAGCAGAAAAACTTACACCTACGCACAATACAGAAGCTGAGCCAATGAAGGTGTATTGGGAAAGTGACAAAAAACAATTAGATCATAAAAATCAGCCTTTCATAGATCTTTTTCTGAAGGGGGCTGCACTGGAGAGAATACCAGATGCAACCGAGGAACCGACAAAAGAGTCTCATTATAATTTGGAAAGACTGAGGCAATTTTTGCCAGATGCCATAACATATAATATTAAGGGTAAAGTATATAATATTATTATATAAAATTATTATTCTATCAAAATATTTATAAAGAAGACACACAGATTCAGTGTAAAATTGTGCACAAATCATGTTATTATATAATATTTAATTATTTCTAACTTTCGCTTTCAATTTGTATAATTAACAAAATGTAGTTTTTTATAGCCTTTTTAATTTTATAACAATTTATAACATGACACAGTCTATTCTTCTTTGAAATTAAATTCAAATCAAACAACTCTGTAATGTACAACATTCAGCTTTGTCGTGTGTGATAAAAATGGGCTGTGGGATAAAAATCTTCACGCTTTAAGTCATTTGATTCATGCAATTGTTGTGTATTCCTGCTATTGTGTTTTATTATCATTTGTTTGAAACTTCCTTCCTCTAGGTACAATCCTATAATCCCGCCAAAATCTCACTGTCATACATAAATAAAAAATGAAAAAGCCAATATTGAAAAACAACTGAATATTTACAATTAAGTGAGAAGCATAAATATTAAAAGAGTTAAATACTCGTATCATTATCTGTTGATACAGTAATTAAATAACTAAATAACTATTGCATCTAATCAAAATTTTAAAGGTTACAGCATTTAGTATGTATAAATGATGTATGTATGTCAGTTTTATATTATACACATACTGATTACATACACTACAACATAAGTTATTTATAATTAGATATCTAAATAAATTTGTTTGAAAAAATATCCATATCCTAAAAAGTACTTACATACCTCACAAAATGTGACCTTAGTTTTTATATATGTAATTTGCCTAATGTAGCACATGATTAAGTAAATGTCTTTGAATTTAAAGATAAAATATTCTTAGTTACAAATAAATGTAACTTTTAGACTAATTAATAGAATCAGGGGTTACTTTAATTTAAAAATTATATTAAAGTTGGTAAGAATGACTCGCCCACATCTGCTCAATAAAATAAAATGATGTGTCTTACCTAGTTTGAGGAGCACCTCCCGCCCTCCCTCAATTGCGTGCACTAATCCCAGCATCACTATACTGGGAAGTCACCACCTATCTGTCCATCTGTAAGACACCTCATTAAGTGGATGTAGGCAAAGTAATTTTTACCATCTTTAATACATTTAGACTATCAAGGTAAACTCTTAATTTTATTTTCAATTATATTATCATTGTATAATTAAGTACTCTAAAGAAAAGTATTTTCCATGCTAACATTATCCATCTTGGTGGTGGTTTTATCTAACAATTAAGAATGTGTGTTTTAACATGTTTATCTTACAACTAAAATACCTTGGTGTTGAAAAATTAAATCTTAATAATATATTAGTTTAATAGTACTTTTGTTTTAGTTCTATATCAAAAAATAAAAAAAAAACTTTTTGAATTTTGTATTCTATTATATGTAGTATTATGAATGATGTGTGTAATTTGTAATTTTTATTAGGTGTTCCAGAAACTCCTAAAGCTGGCACCGGAATATCAAGCAGCGGCCGCGATGCGGGCGTCGTTGCAGGCATCGTGATTGCAGTGATCACAGGAGTTGTCATACTAGCCGCACTGGTAACTATCCACTGCCCTATTAACATTGGTCTTGCATCTAAATTATGATATGTTTTGAACAAATCGTTTGGGTGTACTAGCTGGACAAATTACTTCGGCTGGTACTGCAGCCATTTACATTACAGAAAAGTTGTGTCTGTTTGTTGCACCTATACGTGGTAGTGCCATGTTTTTCTTTGTCTTTTCATTGACTGCCTCGTTGGTCTAGTGGTTGTAGTTGTGCGACTACTGATCATGAGGTCCTGGGTTCGAATCCCGGATCGGGCCAAAAAATTAATTACTGAGTTTTTCCGTCAAGAAATTCTCAATAGCTGCCCGGAGCCAAGAAGTTGAAGTCTCCGGTCGTGTCGGTTTACCGTTCCATCGGACTATGAGAGTGAGGGAATAGAGAGTGCACCTGTGCTTGCGCATACACTTGGGCACTATAATCCTGTCCTGCGCCGATGGCTAGTCTCCGTTGAGGGAGGCCACTGTGACCGAAATTCGGTCTGGAGGACATTATAGTGTCATGTTGCAGCTACATTATGGCTTTAAGCACGAATGGCTCAGCTTTACCAGGGAAGGACCACGCTTTCACAGAATACCAGCGAAAAATAGCAGCTTCATACTGACCCTTTTTTACTGAAAACGAGGCACTCCATCTTAGTCCTCAGGGGTGACAAGGCATCTACATTTTGATTGTTAATTGACGATAAATGTAGATGTCTACGAGCCACAGCATCCACTTACTATCAGGTGGGCTGTATGCAAGCTTGTCACTCTTATTCTATAATAAAAAAGAAACCTCCCCAGCTATTCATATTTAGTCAAGTGAATTAGTAGTCTTTACTAAACTTATTATTGGCTATTATATGAATTTTTATTTTATAAAGACGTATTAAACGGAGTTGAATGACATTATCAGTCTTCACAACAACAAAAAAATAGCAAAACCAAAAGAGGTGGTCTATTTTTATTATCAAATATAACTAAGGAACCTACCATATCACATCGTTTTTATATTTTTGTTTAAAATACGTGATTAAGATTTTAATAATTTAGATTCTAATAATCCGATTTCAAAGATTATTTCAAGTAAAATAAACTGAAATACCTCTATTGCCATTTAAACTTTTCAACATAAATAAAATGAGTTTTTTCCATAAAGAGGAAAAACGCCGCTGATTAACATCTTTATTTAAATCAACACCAATATCTTTTATCGGTAAAAGTCGACTAATTCTTAGAACGACGACGTAATATTACATATATTAGAAAATTTTTCATTCCATTCATTTATATATATGAAGTCTATTTTTTTAAATCAGCGTTGTGGTTTCACCACAACTTAAACTAAGTAATAACTTATTCTCGGCTTTGTACGGCGTGCCTTCGCCGTACAAAGCCGAGTTTATTAAGCTTTCCTATTTTGCTATAAATCAATATGTTGTCTTGTACACGACAATGGTTAATGCCAATATACAGTGTTTTTCTTTCTTTCTATTGATTGACTGCTCTAGGAAACTATAGATAAATCCTTAAAAATATCAGATGACCAAAAGACTAATTATTTATAAATCACATAAAGTAAATATCATTAATAGGTGTTGAGTTTTCTTGCTTCGAAACTCAATTGGGTATATTGAGTCCAACGCTAAAGTAGCCGAAAGGAAACTAGGCGTCCTTGCAAAAATACGACCGCAATTCACGACGGCACAACTTCTTTCCTTTGGTTAAGCACAAGTCCGTTCGTGCATAGTGTGCTGCTGTTACATAATACGGGCTGGTGCTGCACAAGCACAATGCTACCTAGCACCGCTGGACTCAGCGGAAAATCAACCTTGTCGTGCTAATCACAGGCGCTGAATATCCGGCCTCTCGGTGTTCCACGGTGTGTTTAAAGTGTGCGCGGGAATTATACGACAATTCTTCGCTCCCTGACTACCAGACAGTTGGTGGGACTCCACCCGTTTCTTGTCGATATTCGTATTTGCACCGAACGGTTTGTTTTTCGTAATGTAGCAAAGGAGAATTTGCCTTTCCGTCAAATTACTTACAATGTGCGGGTCGTTAAGTCAAAAATGAACAGGTGTTAGATTAAGTCAGTGCGATTGGCCATTTTCGACTTCTTCACCAATTACTATCAGATGGGATTGCAGCGAGGCACAGGCTTATTATGTACTGTTGAGGACGTTAAAGGACTAAAAAGAAAAAAGAAGACGATCCCTTTCTCTCATTATTATTCTATTTTAATTAATTGTTTATTGCGAAATGTAATACTATAACTTTATCAGGGCGTATTCGATCTTTTATAGAATTATTTGTATATAAGTTTGTTTAAATATTTCGCAACAAGAAGTGCTATTTTTAAAAAAAAATATATGACGACGACCCCGTGACCATTTGTTGCAACCGTTATTCCTTAGTATCTCAAAAAATACTGAACTAACAATTCCTATGCTGTTATGGAAATATAATTGATTTTGTTCCTCAGATATCTACCTAATACTTTTTCACAAATACTTCTGATATTAGTATAATTTATTTATCCTTTATTGCTATCACTTTTAGTTAAGACCGAATTTTAATACTTATACAAAAGACTGATATTTTAAGTACAAATTTTTAAGTAATGTTTAACAGGTATATTGAAACCAGTTCAAACAAAAGGTCAATTCCTTTAGGTTTTAGATTAAAATGATGTATTTTTTTTTGAAAATAGAAGTGTGTCGAACTCATATATATATATATATATATATATATATATATATATATATATATATATATATATATATATATATATATATATATATATATATATATAAATAAATGACAAACAAAAATATTCCACGCACGCAGGCAGTCGTTTGCTTTCGTGTCCTTGCTCACAATGCTTTAATTTAATGTAAGTTGATGAATGTCTCATAGAATCACTACATCCACTGTTCAGAGGTTAATTGCCGACATTAGCGTAAATCATACTGCTTTATTTTATTTCATTATCAACAATCGTACATTTTGTTCATAAAGACAACCTAGTATTGCATCAATGAACACTGTTCAATCTTTATTAATCGTTTCAAAACGGATTATTCATAACAAGCTATTTCTTTAAGTACCACCAGTGTATAAAAACAATAACAATGATTATTAAATATTCATCTCGTCGTCAATATGGCAGTTTATAATTGATTACCTTTGAAAGGCACATCTGTACATTACGCCACGCACGCAACTGATATCACATCAGAGCAATAATTGATGGATCAATTGCTTTAAATACTGCAATTGAAGACTAATTGACATCAATTTTCGCAATTTGTCATCATGGTCCTTATAAAGTGAGACAAAGCCAAAATGGTCTTAGGTAATTTTGATAAAAATGCCCTTTTAAATATTGTCATTAATTAATAATTAATGAGATTAATAATTACACATGGATGTTTCTAGAAAAGAACAAATAAAGCTTTCATGGTAACTATTTGGTAATTGTTTAAAACATTAAAAATCTAAGCTATGTATGGCTCACAAGGTCGTAGATTTTCTTTTTTTTTTTTTGTTAGGTATTCAATTCGACTGTGTTTTTTTATGTGTGTTACCGATTTTGATGATTATTTTTCATCTAAAAGCTGGTGCTTCTCGTGTCGGTGCCATATAAATTTAATCAAGATCTGACCATTTGTTTTTGAATTATCTTTAATAATGCGTATTTAATTGACTTAGAATATATTGATTCGGTCGTATTCAAGTCGATTGTACAAAATGTTACATTCAAACTAATTATTAATTTTCTTGACGCGATTATGGGCAAAAAAGGAAGAAGGTAGAGTACTTTATCCATAAGGACGTTCACGTCTTCTGTCGAACAGATAGATATAGATAGATAAAATAATTTTAATGCATTTTGTACACGTTAGACAAAAGATACACACATATTAAGTTAAAAATAATGTGGTTACTACTAAATTATAGTTACCAATATTTACCCAACGATAAACATTTTTTTAAAATAACCGATCGATTGCAGGGCCGTAGCTAGGTGAGGGTTTGGGGAAAATAAGAACATAGATTCTGAATTTAAAACTTTTGCAACGTTATAATAGTTTTACCTCAGCTAGCATCTTTTAATTTAATTTTCCTATAACTTATAATACCTAAGGCTTGCTTATGTATACTCAAAGTACCTAATTTTCAAAAAGTTCTATGGTGATCTCGTATTTGAAAGAAAGTTAAACCATATATATATTTACCTACATTATATTTATTAATGAAATGGTAAAAGATTTCAGATATTGTTAAAGATGATAATTTAAGCTCGTCTTAACTATTGAAATATTTTGAGAGATTTATAACTTTACTTTAAATCTAAAAGTTGAAATCATAAATCCTTACTTCCTATGATATAGTACCTAAAACGCGTAGGTTAATTTTTGAATTTTACATTTTTGATTTTGAAACGTATGTTGTCGCATTTTTCGGTTCCAATTCAGGAATTTCTTTTAACAGGTTTACATTGACAATTTAAATGTACCTAAGGCCCTTTTCGCCATACTATAAACTCTGCTTTAGCCAATTATCGATTAGTCGATTGATTAGTTTGGCTTATTAGCTAATATGGCTATAGTCTGATCGATAGTTAGTTATTCGAATACTGACATTTACGCTAAAAGTACTTTAGCAAAATTATTGTTTATTTTCGCAGATCGCCGTTGTTATGTACCGTCACTACGTGCACCGTAACGTTACATCCATGAATTTCGACAATCCAGTGTACAGGAAGACGACGGAGAACCAATTTGCATTGGAACAGAATGGGTACGCGCCGGGAAGCAAGTTGTACCCGAGCACCGTGGGCGAAGAGGTGAGAGCGCTTACCGCTATGGAATGCACGCTCAACATACAAAATAGTCTTAGATAAGTCGCGCAAACTTAACCCTACCCTCATTTATGGAGATGATTACTAAGTCAGTGTTTTAGATCGCAGAATCTTCGTTGATTTTCTTACAATTTTAAACTACTAAAATATTAGTTATAAACTATCAAACACCTCTACCAACTTTTACGTACAATGAATACAAGACCCCGAAAGTTTTTGGCCAGAATGTATTGTACATAGCGACTCTATAGGATAAAAATGCATTAAATGTATGCAAAGTCTAGGCAGACTACCTAAGACATTTTGAATTCGATGTATTTAGAGTTATATTTACTAGATATCATTTTAAGGAATTTATAGAGGATATTTTCGTTTAGTATTAAGGATTATGGCGGAATGGATGTGCCAACATTTTTACCGTATCAGTATTACATGATAGATGCCAAATTAATTAAGTATTTAAATCTAGGTTAATGCTGTAAATATTCCCTTTGAATAGATATTAATTTTGTCAATTGTAATGTCGCCATTTTGAAAATGATTTACTGCTGAGCAATTTCAATTTTCATGCAATGCCATGTGAGAAGATTTTATTGGTAAGTATGTCGATTATGTAGACGTTGGAAGTAGTTTCCTTTTAACACTTACACTTAATTCATAAGGGTGACTTCAGTGGAGAGTGTTTACAGAGGCACGTCGTTCGGCGAGCGTGACACATAATCTTTTGTATGTATTTAAAATGTCAGCCGAACGCGCCGTTACACGTCTCTTTATCAAGCTAACAGTGAAATGTCAGCAAAACCACTGACATTTGCCTGGGACTTGCACATTGTAGAATCGGTTTTACAAAAAATAAGTTACTCTGTTATCTTTTTTTATATATACTAGTAATCCTATTAATTAACATTACCAATATTCCTTTTAACGACTCCTGGTATGCTTAAAATGCTTGTGTTAGGAGAGTGGTTCACGACAGTAGTCGAACGGCGGACTCGAACCCACGATCTTTTGAGTTCGCGGTCTGCGCCGTGCTAGGCTACTGCCGCTCTTTCTTTACATCAAGCTAGCAGTAAACTAACAATAGAATAACGGACTCAAATAATAGGTCAAAAATTGTTGCTGGAAAATAGTGTAACAAGAAATATAAGAAATAAGAGAAACCAAGGATTGGTGGGACCTGATAACTGATAGCCTAATAGTAGTGTTCATGCTACAGTAACATGTAGTTTGTATAGACAAGTAGCAGGATAGAAACGAGAGAAGGTAGAGTTCTGCTACGGCACACGCTCATCCAAATACTCTCCACTGAAGTCTTAGAAAGACAAATCCTCTGCTGCACATTGGCTTCCTTACTATGCCACACAACACGGTTCTAAGCCAACTTATCAACCTCCCTTGCATGTAGTACTAGGTCGCCACGCTCGTCTATAGTGAGGGGCTGCTCTACACTTGCACTACACTGGTAAATGGATAGTAATCCATTTACCAGTGTAGTGCAATTTACTGATCTGTTGGGCTCAATGTTTTTATTAATGTGATTCTACAATATCTTGGTTACGGATGTCAACCAATTGTTTATTATTAAAGTCCCCGAAGGAATTTTAATATCTATCTGGAATATCATAGTGCTAAAATCATATTTATTGTATTTCTTAGCGAACACATTCCTTAGCCTAAAATATTTAGTCCCATTATGGCGAGAAACTTCAAAAATAAAAAGGCATTTGATCACACGATCGCCTTTTACCTGCCCAGCATGCCGACTACAAGTCCTAAAACTTAGGGTAGACTGTCCATCATTGAATGCTTTAATAACATTTAATGTAATGAACATTATTAACCAATTGCAAATTTTATTTTCAGGCACAAGAACCACTTAACACACCCGGCACAAATGAGTATGTATAGTGCTAGAGCTGGCACTAAATATGTTATTATATCATTAAATGTGAAAAGAAAAAGAAGGACGTGTGGTACTCGAAAGTAGTGTATTAAACCAGTGAACGGTACATAGTAAATGTTTTCATAGTGAATCGGATAAATTGCTACCATTATTAGTGCAAAGAATACTGGTGCAACAATGTTAAATTGTGTTTGCCGCGTTTTATGCTAAAAAGGATCTCAAAATTTCAATCATATGATTTGTGCGCATTAATGTCGAAATATATGCGTTGAAATGATATTCTTCTGTTTATACTGAGATCTTGCTTTCGTATCGCAAATGGATAGAATAAAGTATATATTTTATATTCTCAATTTTAATTCTATGAATTGTATAAAATCATCATTCGATTGCTGTAAAAAAGCAATAAATATCCAGCTCATTATCATTATTTAAATCAAATATACATTTCTGTAATCAGATTTAGTTAGGGAATATGTTGTAATGTAATATAAGATGTGTTGATCAAAATTATTTAAAATTCGAATATGATATTAAAAATTTAATATTGTAGATAAAGGTACTTATTAGAGAAATTAACAAGATGCACACAATATTAATTTTGCTTTATATTTTTATATAAACATATGTTAAAATAATGGTTTAAAAGTATATTATAATTTTTAATTCTTTATCTGCACATTATCTTTGTACTTATTTATTATTTATTACAATTTTAAAATGAGTGTTTAAAAATTTGCTTATCGATGTTTTATATATAGACAAGTAGACTATTTACAAAGCTGTGCCAAATTTTATAGTACTCCGCCAAGAAATTGATGTCTTTTGAAATGTTCTTGTAGAAATTTGTGGTAGAAATAAGCGATGGGGGTTAACGAGCGATTATATTTATTTCGATGTAATTTATGGAGAGTGTTATGTCATTAATACAGTTTGCAATTTTTATATATTTTATGTGAAGGTTGTGTTTTTCGATCCAACATATTTACTATGTAATTTAGTAGCAGTCGCTTTTAAATCGGAAATGTGATTTAATCAAGGAAAATCCTGCCAAATCCTCTTATTCTACTTTAATTATAAATGTATTTGGTAATGTAATGCAATTACAAACATTTTAATACTTGATGCACATTTCATACGATATAACTCAGTAAGAGTGGTCACCAAACTATTGTGTAAATATTGTCAGTAAAAAAATATAAAGTAAAAAGTGTTAAGTGATTTTTTTTTACTTACCCCAAAAAGATGTTTTTATGCAACGTAACCTTTTTTTTCTTAATATTTATTTTAAAAGATTTCCAAATTACTCATTAGTGCCAACACCAGACTAAATATTTAGTAGTAGTAGCTATGATATAGCAACTAAAATTAATAACGTCTATTTTTATGATTATTATTGACCAACAAACACAAAGCTAAATCCTTAATAGACCGAAATGATCACCTGATAAACATAATTTAGTTAGACGAGTATCCGGCCTTAACGAGACCAATTCCGAAATCCTTATTAAAAATAATGTTACCCTGTTATGCCTCAAAAATGAATTGCGCTACTACACATAAAAACGTATAACAGAAACAATTATTTGTAGTTCATACATACGCTTGTCCTGTACGCGATTCTAGCGTTACCTTAGATTCTTATATTTAAACTGTACCTTAGACCATAGACAGACAAACGCTTAGTCACTGCACTACGAGGGTGATACTGTAAGTTCTTAGAAAATCAAAAACTGAACAAACTAGCAAGATATTAGTTTTATTATATCTTTCTAAAATAGTATCTATTTACATCAATACATCGCTGCATCCGATAGAACAACTGCGAAAAGCACTTAGCCCACTCATCCTTAGGGGCTTGGGGGTCTCTACGACGGCATTTTGAAACGCAGCCACTGCTTCCTCGGCGTCCATTAAACGTTTTCCTCGAAGATTTTCTTTTATTTTCGGAAATAAATAAAAATCGCAAAGTGCGAGGTCGGGGCTATAGGGTTGGTTGACCCGGCAACTCCACGTCTGACGTCGCCAAGTGGTCGATTGTTTGCTTGGCGGTGTGCGACGAGGCGTTGTCGTGGTGAAGGAGAATGCTGCTGCGAGGCCATTTCTCAAGAACTTTTTCCAAGACAAGTGGCAAACAATTGCCAGTGTAACACTCTGCAGTAACTGTTTTTCGATCCTCTAAAACAATTGTTGCGTAATGACCTGTCTTTCCGCAGAACGGGGCCATCAACTTTTTCCCCACGCTTCGACCTCTCTTCACTTTAGTTGGCAACTCGCAAGGAAACACCCAGACAGCAGACTGTCAGTTTCAGGATCTTAAAAATAAATCCAGCTTTCGTCACCCTTAAGTATATCGAACACAGTATTTGAGTCACCTCAATTAAATCTGATTCAAGACACCAATCAACGCGACGGAGTTTTTGGTCCTCTGTCAAATTATGAGGTCATAGAGGATTTTGTGCACTTGACTCATACCGATGCCTAAGCTTGTCCGAATCTGCTGATAAGTCACTCTTTTGTCAGTCTCTATCATACACTCCACAACACTGATGTTATCTTCAGTCGTCGCCGTAGAAGACAGTCCCTCACGCAGATCATCGGTGAGATTAGTACGACCACGTCTAAATTCATTAAACCAGTTGTAATTTGTGGCACTTCATCGTGAAAGGCCAATCGAAGTCTATCATAACTTTCTTGTTGACTAAAATGACATCGAAAGTCATAAAAAATCATTGTACGAAAATTTTCTCGCCTTAAATTCATGCCGACATGACACAGACAATTTTTAATTTGCCGCCAAATCGTAAACAAATGACAAATTAATAAAATACATACTTACACAATAATATTAGCAAGGAGTTCCATTTTCAAAACTTGTGCTTATTTTTTTATTATATAGTTTACAAGTGGCCAGTTCTGAAAACCTGCAGTGTCGCCCTCGTACCAAGTCGTCAAAAGTGCGAACTACATTTTCAGATTATTTTAAAACTTTAATTTTTTTTAAATTGCGGTTGAAAAAATCTGCCTGCAAATCACATCGTAGTTTTTTTTTTATAATTGAAGTTACAAACGAGCTTACAGTATACCTAATGTTAGATGTCTAATGCAGTCTAGACATTCGCATCCAACTTCAAACAAAGGCATACAATGCGTTGTCAGACTCAGATAGTATGCCTCACTCGTCTTTAAACGGTGAGATTGTGGAGACTGTATTTTTTTTCACTCTTCAACTTCATATACCTACACTGAAATGTATATAGCCGGACTTCTGAGACATTATCTACCAGTCTACCTGCCAGACAGGGAAACTGTTGGAGAAGTGTAGAGATTAAATAGGTAGGTGTCTTTTTACACCTACTACTAGTACATACAGAAAGTTTATACGTAAGCGTATAACTGAATATATATATAAACATAATGCACATACATACACATAAAACAAGCTGAACATATAAAACAACGAGTATTTTGAAAAATCTTACTGAAAAAATATTGGTAAACATAATCGTCTTATTTAAATTAAACAATAATTAATAAGAACTATAATCTAACATTTTCATACATACATTAATAATTTAATTTGTTAAATAAATATAATAAATAAACTAAGTGAATTATGATTGTTTTTTTTAAAAAAAAACGATATATCGATACATCGATATTTTTCGATATATAAAACTCCGATATTGGTATATTTATAATTAGCGAAAAAATATCTAAAAAATATCAACAGTCCTAGTTTGAACTGATCAGTTGAATTGACCTTGTGTGTGTTCTTTGGCTTAAATCCGTTTGAACTGATATCAATTTAACTGATGACACTAACCGACTGTGTGTGGATACCATAAGAAGCTTTACGCTATGCAAAAAACTTATCAAAAGCGAGTTAAACTTGTATAAAGCTGATTATGATGTTATAATAAAATCTCTCGATCATTTATACTGGATAAATGAATTTAACCCTTTCAACAACGTAAATATATAGCAAAAGTTAAACGCTGCACTTTCAAAAAATAACAAATTATTATGAACCCAAGACGCGTAAACGTAATTCAAACTATCCAGTGTGGTTTTCTCCCAGCTTAATTAGTTTATTAAAACTGAAATATAAATACCATACCAAATATAAAAAATTTAATAACCCGCACGACCAAATCGAATTTTAATATTTAAGAAATGATGCTAACCATTCAGTAAATAGGTGCTGTATAAAATATGGTACAACCATTGTAGAGGAAATATAAAAAAAAAAACAAATATTTCTGGTCCCATATTTAACACTTGCGAAAAAATAGTCTTCATTTCCTCCTATCATGTCACTTGGCATTGAGAAAGCACACAACACAAAAGAAATTTGCGATTTATTTGCTAAAAACCTTTCTTCCATTTACGTAAAAGGTGACGGCTCTGACCACCACTCACAAACACCAACTTCCACTATACTCCTAGAAATGGAGAACTTCCAAATAACGCATAAAGCGATAGTGAAAAAATAAAAAAGACGATGTACTAAAGGAAAAGGACCGGACAACATTCAACCTTTATTTTTTGAATAAATGTGCACGTTGAATTATCGCGTATATTTAACTTTTTAAATACCCGACCTTTCGATAGCTTTACAACACCCATGGTCACGGGAGGGACTGAGACGTTCAACGTCCAGATGTCATAGTTAACCGCGGTTACCATAGATTAAATAAAATATATATACATGGTACATAAATATATATACTTACCATAGTTAAATAATAAGCGATAAATTCCGTAAAAACTAGTATTATTTCAATGTGTAGTGTTCGCGTAAATATAAGAAATCAAATGTTCTTTAGCTAAATCTCTTTCTACTATTTTCAACACTTCTTTGATAACTGGCATAGTTTAGTTCCCTCACGATGGAAAGAAGCAATCACCCAATCTCAATCCTATGTACTTCATCGAATACCTTTGAGGCATTCGACAGAGTAAAATCCTCCTCACCTGTACAATTCATATCAAGCCAGTTATT